TGACTTTTTCTTAAGGGAGCCAGCATGCAGGATGGTAACTTTTTTCTTTCTTTCTTTCTTTCAGGGAGCATTCTGGGGGCTAATGGTTGGACTCGTGTTGGGCCTTGCCTGTATGATTCCTGAGTTTATATATGGAACAGGCAGCTGCGTGGCTCCCGGTAACTGTCCCAAGATTATCTGTGGAGTGCACTATACATACTTTGCCATCATTCTGTTTTTTGTGTCCATAGTAGTAATCCTGGGAGTCTCCTTCCTAACGAAGCCAATTCCTGATGTTCACGTGAGTAATGAGTGATGACTTCATGCTCATTTAAAAATAACCTTTCTTCCTAACACGGTGGCTACTATACAGGCTAAGGCAATGGAACCGTTATAATACTAGAGCTAGAATCCAAACAAGCAATAGCTTCACAATTAGCATATGCAAAGCACCAGAGAATGAAGATGTAAGAGATTAGGAAATGAACTGGAAATTAAAAATCTTCCTAGTAGAGCTGGGGCATAACTCTATGCCACTGTTTCTGTATACCAGAATGACAGCACTTGGTGTTGCCTAAGAGACCAGGAAACACCACAGAGCAGAAGAGGCACCTGGGCTGGGCCAACTTAGGAGACACAACAAAAAACATCCACAACATGATCAGAGATAAAAATGCGCACAGCAACAGAGATGAGAACATAGAACATGCGATACTCATTTTTTGTCATTCAAATTGCCCATAGATAATACAAGTAATTTTCTGGGTTGGTAAGAAAGCGGTGAATTCCCACAATCCAGAGTTTTTAGTAAATACGTGAAGCTTATGCTTGCTAAGAGGGCAATTTGCAGTTGCCAGTTTTTAAGTTCTTGTATCTATGGGTAAAAAAAATTATAGTTTTATTAGTGTATTTAAAATATATACAAAAGTAGAAAGATATGAAGAGTTTCTCTGTGAAAATTTCTAATAGAAAAAAAAGAACAATCCAGATTTTTATCACTAAAAGAGTAAGTATATAATGAGGAAGCACTAATATATATTTAATCATGTTCATAGCATGACTGAATCAGGAAAAGACATGCAGAATATTATAATATGTTATACTATCATTTTTTATATAGAGACACAAATACATATAAACAGAAAAAAATTAAACATGAATCTGAGCTGGACGGGGTAGGGTAGCACATACCTTTAATTCCAGCACTCAGGAGGCAGAAGCATTTTGATCTTTGTGAGTTCCAGGACATCTAGAGCTACATAATAAAACACTGTCTCAAAAATAAACAAATAAATAAACAAACAGACCTGTAATTCTCAACAAAATTACCTGTAGAATGGGACAAACTGTGAGACTCTGGAAAATGCTAATCTTTTGAAAATATGAATAGTCATTATTTAGAAACATTGTTTCAGTTTATTGTTATCATGTAATAATACTTCTATGAATTTTGTGTTTATCATTCACAATCTTCTATGTCATTCTTACTTGCATATATACTGAAGGAGTAGCCTGTACAATATGTCTACTTTTGAAACTTGAAGCATAAGGCAGCTAAAAACAAACAAACAAACAAACAAAAAGCAAAACAAAAACAAAAAAATGAAAAGGAAAAAAAAGCTTTATTAATGATATGTTACCAGAATCTGTTACTAAATACTTACATTTGGTAGTGGAATTGAATAAAAATAACATAAGAAAGCATGTAATTACAAAGGAAAATGTAACATGAAATTATATGGCAATAGGAATAATCATAACTTATTACTAATTTTTAAGAACTTATCTCAAGGATCAATGAGATCATCATTGTGTTTAAATATATTGTGAGTTTTCAGTTCTGAAGTAGACTGATTAGTATCAAGAGCTATTTCACAGATAACCATGAAAACTGTTGCAAACTCTTGTAGCAAAGGAGTAATGAAACACCCCTAGTGCCCTAACAGGGGTGTGATTTTGCCAGATCCAGATAGTTTCTGCAAGTTTGTGTTGTTTGGAATTCTGGGGACTCTTCCGAGAGTATATTAATGCTAGTTCCCCTAAGAGGTTGTTGTGGGCTATTGGTTGTAATTTGTCAAGTAGTCGTGTGCAAAGAAGAAACAAGGAGAAGATATTAGATATTTTGACAGCAAATCTAAAACTCACCCCAAGGAATTCAACACACCTAATCAGCAGGAAGTAGTCTAAGGATAACAATGCCCTCTTTCCCCTTTATCCTTTTTTCTCTCCTATATAGTGTTAGAGAGCTAAAAGGGTAGCATAAAAGTGGAAGAAAGAAAAACCCATAAAGTTGCCAAAAGTCTGGCTACAAACAACAAAAAAGATTTAGTAGGAAAAATGATATTTTAAGAGTTTATTATGGTATAGCATAGAAGCACATAATTTTTATCTCAATAGCAATAAAGCAAGATAAATCTATAAAATAAAGCAAGAAAGCCATAGATAAAATTTACATGGCTGAAAATATTATGATTATATATTTAAAACCTATTGATACTTGAAACAATTTTCTTAGAATGACTAGTGAGCATGCAAATAATAATAATATTGATGATGTCATATATGTTCTTTACTTTTTTTAAGTTTTCAAGACAGGATTTCTCTGTGTAACAGCCCTGCCTGTCCTAGACTGGCAGTCTTTGAACTCACAGAGATCCACCTACCTCTGCCTCCCCAGTGCTGGGATTAAAGGTGTGTACCACCATGCCCAGCTTACTTTCAATTTTTAAAATATTTTTTGAGACAGAGTGTCACTGTATAGTCCTTGTGGTCTGGACTTTGCTATTAAAAATAGGTTGATTTGGAATACACAGATCTCTGCCTGCCTCTGCCACCCAAGTGCTGGGATTAATTAACAAACATAAAGATCAAGCATGAACAAATAAATTATATCACAGACAACCATCAAAGTGATATCAAACAGTTAAAATAATCATTGGTAGAAATTTGCAGATGAGTGTGGAAAGGCACATGAAAAGGTGGAATTCAAAAACAGCTCACAGACACTATCTAAGAATGATGGATCCTGAGAAAGAACTTAATACAAACATTTTATAGTAACTATTAGACCAAATCAAAGTCATCAGGATGCAGCACTGACAAAGGCAAGACAGGACACAGCAACGATTGCAGCCGAGCTCCTGTGTAGGATCGCTGCATCTGTGCCTTCCCTGACATCACAAACCCAGAAGTAGGAGTCTAAGAATACTGTTTGGAGTTATGAACAAATGTTAGAGTTAAAAACAAGCAATTCAAAATAGTTGACGTGTTTTGCTGAGAGAGTTTGTAGGAGACCTTTCCTTCTAACCTATACTGTTCTGGCTCAGTTATGTTTTTAAAACCATACATTAAACAAGGTATTGTTGGAACATGTTTTTAAGTGTTTTCATCACTGTAAACTTGTGTGTTGTCTGTGGCTAGCTATACCGCCTGTGCTGGAGTCTTTGGAACAACACAGAAGAACGCATTGACTTAGATGCAGAAGAGAAACCTCTAGAAGATGATAGTGCTCCTGAAGAAGGTACTATTTGGCTTACATCTGGTTTTACTGTAAGAGCACTGTGTATAGTTTGGCTATATGGGCTTTTATGGGTTATGTTTGTTTTTAAACCCACTAAATTCAGCTTCTGAGATTTACTTGTATATAAATATAAAAACTAAAAATTTTAAAACATGTGTTCAATATCTAGGTCTACTAATTATTAAATATGAAATCCATTTATTCATCTTCAGTCTCTGCCTGTCTATCCATCATCTGTTCATGAAACTGAGTGCCAGCTGCCAAAATAACACTTAATTACAGACTGCCTGTCTCTAATTACATATTGTGCTCAACAAATCGGTCTCGATTGGTCATGCCTGAGTGTCTGACATCATCTCCTCTCCACCTTTACTCTTCAGTATTCTCCCTAACACATCTTCTACTCAGGGAAGGCAGATTCCTTCATAGTCCTGATAAAGACTAAGCTAACCTGTTTTATCAATGAGCTAACTTTCAGGTTTGTTTCTCTTCATTGTTATCCTACTATCTTCTTTCATGACCTTTTCTCATTGGTATATCCTTCCACTATCAGTATCTGGGATTACTCTATTAAATACAATTTTATGTTAGGTTAGATTATAATTGGATATTTCATTAATTTTCAGCTTTTTACACACAAAGGTCATTTACTTTCTAACAACCCCCAAAATACTTTGCTTTGTCTTTAATGATTTTTCATAGATTATACCATTTAGAAACATGTCTTAATTTTTCCAGAGCCACAATGATCAACTTTGTACAAAAAGGTTTTGTATGTGATACCCTGTACCATTGGTACATATTTTTAGAAGTTTGACTGAAGGCTGGGGGCATTCTCTATACATGAACCATCTGCCACTGTTCTTTCAACTGTTTCCTTCTTCTAGCATGTTTACATGAGGTTGTTGGTGGCCTTATCTTCTATTTTTAAAACCTTATTGTGACATGTCAGTTTCCCTGTCCTCAGTTTCACTTATTTTTCTTCTGTTTATTGGATTCTTACCATGCAGAGTTTTCTATTTTATATAATCAGATTTAACCATACTTTCCCATAGAGTCCCCTGATGTTTGCTCACAGCCATTTGTAGGGCAGCAACAGCGATTTCCATATCCTGTCTTTGGTGATGACTTATTGATTCTTCTTGTTACAGATGAATCTGAGCAAGCCAGTGGATGTCTTAGGAGAGCATGTAGCGTATTCTGTGGTTTGCAGAACAAAGGGCCTAAGCTAACCAAAGAAGAGGAAGAAGCCCTGAGGAAAAAATTCTCAGACACATCTGAGAAGCCCTTTTGGAAAAATGTAGTGAATATCAATGCCATCATCCTCTTGGCTGTGGCTGTCTTTGTCCATGCCTATTTTGCCTGAACCCTGAGCGAAGCAAAGGACTGAGTTTTCTTTTGTAAAAAGTTTGTCATGTTCTAAGGTAGATGACCAATTGAAATGTTGTACAATTAGATTGCTATACATATGATTTCTTGCTTTTATCATGCCTTTGTGTTAATCAGATGAAAGATTCTTTTTTCCAGGTCCATTTAGATGGAAATAAAAAAATGTATATATTTAAGATAAACACCATGGTTTGTTGTAGTTAGCAATTAATATTAACTATTGATTTATCTTCTGGTAATGCTGCTGTTAATCATAAGCAGCTGTATAACCAAATCACCCACAGAGACTGGGTTTATTTAGTTAACCTAGAACACAATTCTGTGTAATAGCTACTCCATCCTAAACCTCCAAGCCCTCATAGTTTCTTAACATTTAGATTTCCTACATTATACTTGCTTTTTGTGATATCTTAGGTCCAATCCATCTCTCCACGTAGTTCCAAGATCTCTCCTCCAGCTCTCTCCTCTAAGCTCTCCTTGTGCCCTTTCTCCTCCCACTCATTTTCTATTTTCTGGCTCCTCCCAGCTCAACATTGTGTCTAGTTGCTTTATTTGGAAGTTTACACCAAGTTGAGACAGGATGCTTAGGATTGAAACCAGAGAGTGGGGGGAAGAAATCAGTATTTGAATGAACAAGGATAAGGTGTACCATTTTAAAAGAACATTATACCAACAATGGTTATTTGATATGTACACAATGGTTATTTGATATGTATTTGAAATGATAATCATGATCAAATTAACATATATGTCATCTGATTTGGTCATCTTTTGTGTGCCTATGGTGACAATTTTAAAATGTGCTCACTTAGTAAACTTCAGTTTACAATAGTATTTTTTGAGACTAGTCACTATAATTTGCATAAATTCCCAGAATTCTTTTTGTATCCAAAATTGTATGCCCTTTGCTCAATAGCTAACTATTTTAAACTTTATAACTATGAAAATTCACTATTCACTGGATATGATGTGAAGTCTTAGTGAATTAATATCCCCTAGTTGCAAAACAAGCTTGCCTTCTTCTATGCATATCTTCCGGAACAGTTTCTTCATAGCAATTATTTCTGTGAAGCAGGCTTCCTTCAGCACCCATATTTCCACATATTTGTAATGCATGTGTATATTCTACCTCCATGAAAGGGGAATATAAATGTTATAACAATGAAGGAATTAAAAAGCTTGACCTTGTCTTTAATGGAAATCTGTACCCTCATATGCATTCTTCCTCCCCTTCCCTCTCCCTTTCTCTCTCTCTCTCTCTCTCTCTTTCTCTTGTCTCAGTCCTAGAAAGGTTATGTGGCTCACTTATATCCACACAACCTGTTACTGGGCAGAGTTTGGTCATCAACCCACATTTTCCAATTCCACATGCCTTTATGCAAAACCTGGTTCATTTTTAGTGTGGGTTTCAATATTTAATGCTAATGGAAACAAATGGATTTGGCTACATATATTACAGTTTGGTAAAAACAAAAACAAACAAAAAAGTCTGTAGCTGGACATGCTGGCACATATCTTTGATCCCAGTACTCAGGGAGGTAGAGGCATATGGATCACTGTGAGTTCAAGGCCAACTGATCAAGTCCAGATTACTCTGAGTTCAAGGTCTACTGATCAAGACCAGGACAGCCAAGACTGTTACACAGAGAAACCCTGTCTGAAACAAACAAACAAACAACAAAACAAAACAAAAAAACAAGAACAATGGGTCAACAAGATGGCTCAGTAGATAAAAGCTTAATGGTCGAAGAGGCCCACCCACCTGCAGAACAGGTATGATGAGCAAGTATGTGGTGGAGAGAAGGGAAAGAAAGAGAAGCTGAATGGTTCGTGTACAATGAAGAGGGAGGTGAGGAACAGCGGATGTGACTGGCCTGAGCTGCCATGTGAGGCCATGGTGATGTCCTGACCCTTAGCCCTGAGGCAGCAAGGGTCTCTTTGATGTCCAGTACCCATGTTACCACCAAGGACTGTACAGATGTCCCTGTTCTAGGCTGGGAACTAAAAGACCAAATAATTAAAAATTAATTTTTTGAGGTATTGTTTCAAACTTTAAAGCACACGCCTGAACAAAGGCCAGTTAGGTGAAGACATATCCAGCCACCTGTAGGGAGGAACCAGCCTTACTTCGGTTCTTTTCTTACCCACTAGAAAAAGTTGCTAGGAAACTGACCCAGATCACAGCTCTGCCCTAGGGTGGCCAAACAAGGGAAGCCAGACTATTAATGGTTTGGGGGGCCTTCCTAAAGCCAATCAATTCAAAATGCAACATCCCCTTTTGTGTGTCAACCAATAGATTCTTGCCAGGCAGAAATTCCCTGCTTTGGGCACACTGGGAGGGACTGGACTCATTAAAATCAACTACCTAACCTGAGCACGAGGCTCTTTGCTCTCCATTGCTGTGGTGGTGAGGGTGTATGAGCCCAAGCTAGAGCTTGTAATAAAAGGATCCTCATTTATTTTGCAACAGACTCAACTCCTGGTGGTCTTTTGGGTTCTCCTGATCTAGGCACATTTTTTGGAGGTCCCACCAAGATTCTGAGATTTCCCAGGACCCCAGAGGTCCTGAGGGTCCAGGACCAGCCAGTTAATGCTCTTTGTCTCAGTGTCTCTGTTCAGTGTCCATGTTTGCGTCTGCTTTCTGTTCTGAAAATCTGTTCTGAAAAGCCTTGAGGTGTCTGTAAGAGCAGCAAGACTTGACTAGAGGGAAGTTATGTCCAGGGGGTTACAGCTGCCCAAGTTAGGGAGATATTCCCGGCTTCATCAGAATTTTGGTGGACACTCAGGTAGAGTCCCACCGTCAGGAGGTGGTTCAGTAGAACCCAACCACTTCTCTGAGCTTCCGTGGCAGGGAAATAAGAGTGGAAATCTGAAGGTCCGTGAGTCTGAGCTTAAAATGCAAAACGGCTACACTGCCACTTAGTTGGTGCTTGTCTTTCTCTTTTGTTCCTTGTGCTTATGAGAAACCTCTTCCGGGCGGATGTTGTGCCTGTCCTGGAGGAGGAAACTGTTTCCGCTTTTGCCTTCCCCACCTCAAGCAAAAGCGCTTGGTTTTGTTTTTGTTTTCAGTCACGGAGCAGCTAATTTGGGCGCATTTGTTTGTCTGTCTTATTCCTTGTGTTTTTGTTTTGGATTTTTTTTTTTTTTGTCTTTGTTTCAACTTGTGATGGACGCTATGGGACAGACTTCCTCTAAACCCTCCCTGTTCCTTCTGACATTTCCACCTGAGGTTCGTTCCTCCTCCCTGCGTTCCACCACAGTGGGAAGAAGCAGCAGGTGCTCCAGTGGCAGGTGGGGATGCGACAATGGGGCCAAGAATGAAATTGTCCTGGACCGCTCCCAGGCAACTAGAGGTTGCTGCTGAGTGCACCTTTGTCCTGGCAGCAGCCCTGGACCATCCGTTGCAAGCTCTGTTGTAGTTGGATGGAGCCCAATTTAGGGACAGGTCACCCCTAATGGAACAGGGCAGATGACCCACTGAGAGACAAGCCACTATCCCTTTGGTTTTTCCTTCCTCTTGCTTTCTTGTTGCATGCATTGTACCGGTACATTGTTTTCTTGTGTTCTTTTATGTTCTTGCTTGTTTGTTTACGATGGTCTCAGTAGGCAGGTGACCAAACAGCTGTGGGTGTATGAGTGGCCTTGCCTGACCCATACTCCCAACATTACAAGCTGGGGCACCTCTGGTTGTTGGAAGGAGCATGCCTTAGGGTGGGACAGGGAAACAGCCAAGAGCTGGGCGGGCTACATGAGCTTGCCTAGATTGATGGAACAAAGTGCTTGAAATTACGCTGCATCGATTCGGGGCAAGATGGCAGCGTCGGGAGGACTCTCATTCTGAGGAGCAGCACAGCAGGATTGGCACAGTGACCAGCAATCAGAACTCTCGGCCATAAAACACAAGTGATTGTGTTTCACAGGTGAGAGGATACCCCACGGTGGGGGATTCAATCAGCTTTAACTCACCCGGCTAAATCGTGGAAGAGATCCCGGTTCCGCCAGGCACTTGGTCGCCAGCCCAGAGCTACCCGCCAGCGCAATCTGGTCACGGTCCCAGACTGAACTGTGGGCCCACAACACCATAGACTGGATTTCCCAGTCGAGAGATAACCCCACGGAGCAGGAAACAATTGGGACCGACCCCAGGTTACCCAGACATCCCCTGGAAAAGACTCGGGTTCCGCGGGCACCCCAAGAGCCAGCCTGGACCAGAGCCGGGACCCAGGCGCCTGCACGGAGCCCTGCCTGTGCGCCTGATTCGCCGCATCAGAAAGAACTGTGGGCACCAGGGCACCAGGGCACCATACTGCGTATCTCTGGCAGGAGGAAACCCCCAGCGCAGGGGGGTCAGCAGCTCTAACGCTTAGGACACCCAGCACCAAAACACTTCCTGGACTCACGCAGACTCTAGTGCAGGCAGGAGCGCTGTGCTCTGCCGCCATTGTTGAGTTCCCCTAGGGCACTGGGACACACAGCTGCATCCTCAGACCTACAAAAGCCAGAGAGCCATTACAGCAGCCCTCAGATACTGTGCCAAGGATCAACCAGTTATCCCTAACTAGACTGTCAAAACTGTGGGAATCCCTGGTCCTTCAAGAGGGCTACACCCACAGCGTCTGGACCAGAGCAGTGCCTGCAGCCGCCATCCCAGACAGAGACACACAGCTTCTGGTCCAGAGTGAGGCACCCAGCCTCCAGACCAGAGCAGTGCCCCCAGGCACCAACTCAACCTAGGTGCACATTCTCCAGGTCCAGAGCAGAGCAATCAGCCTCTGGCCCAGAGACTTGCTGAGTGCACCTCCCACTTTCCCAGACAGAACTGTGCACCCCAGAATAACAGACTGAGTTTCCCTTTTGGGAGAAAACCCCACAGCTAGGGAATCAGCAGTTTCTTCAAGAGGACTGTACATGGAAATTTAGTGAGCAGCAGCACACTAAACTTATAACAAGAAACCCAGCAGTGGGGCAGCTGTCTTGAGAAATTCTGTGG